ACCCAGGAACTGAGGAATCATCCTCAAGTAATTTCGTTTCATTATTTTCCAACTCATGACCACGATGGCTGTTTTAATAAATGTTTTAATTTATACGAAAAATATTTTAAAATATTCTTCTCAAGATCAGCAAAGCCATGATTTATAATATTTTATGTAATATGGAAACATCCTCAGTTAGAGTTGATTGAAGTTTGTTCATATCATGACCCATGGAATAGAATGAGTCCTAATAGGAAATCAAGGCTTTACATAGAAATATATAGGAAAACTCTTTAAAAATCTTCTCAAGAACAACAAATACATGGCATGATTGGTGATATTTATATGGAGGCATCCTCGGGTAAAGTAGTTTTAAAGTTGTTTAAATTAGAGTTCTTGGGAGTAGGGTGGAACACAATATGCAATCATTTTTTACATAGGAATATATACTAAAATATCTATAAGGTAGTATTTTTCTCTGATTTCTTACTAGATAAAATATTCAAAGTTCATTTGCTTTCTGTGTGTTATATGCTTAGGTGTAGGAGATTTAAAAGACAATACTTTTCTTTCCTCGTCACAACTGTACGACTCTAAATAGAAATGGTAAACCATGTTTGAACCACTAGCGGGGAATGGTGGCGTATGAAAGAAGGATATGGAAATAACGAACAGTATTCAATCTCAAAGTCCATAAAACCATACAAAATAAAAGCAAACCAAACACAGACCTCCCAAACATCAGAGGTGTGATCAGGTGCATTGGAGGAGTGAGCATCCCCTGCCGACCGGTCACACCCGCCGTGTGTAATGAAAATATCTTCTTTTCTGCCTCTCAAACCATTATAGAAAACGGATTTAGTCATAATTCCACACAATAAAAGTCTTGAAAAAAAATTAAATCGAAGTTTAATTAAATTATTGATAAGCGACTCAAGTTCATAAATATTTCAAATAAATATAATTTTTCAAACAAACAAGAACAGTATTAGCTTTTATATGCATCCAATCTGAGTACAGATTTGAGCAAAAGATTCGTAAAAAAGTATTCTTCTCTCTTAGTGAACAATCAAAACTTTATATTTTCTTTAAGTTTTTGTATCATTTTGTTTCTTTATGTGACAACAATATTATTAATGCCCAGGAAAAAAGGGTAATGAACTCGACCTGACCTTGCCTCTTATATAAGGCGGGTTTGTTAAGGCAGCACAAGGACCAGAATGCAGCGAAATGACACTTTTTATGATATGTAACACAAACAACTCAGAAATTAAAAGTTATAGATAAAACTTTTGCTATTATAACAGAATCTATAGACTTCAACGGGACTTAAACTACAGAAAGCACTACACCTCACTACGTGACGTCTATAATTAGAAAATATCCCTTAATAAAAAGTGAAAGGTTCAACACTAGCCCGAGGATAATAAATTTCAATTTATATTAATTGGTATGCAATAATATCTATGTACCATGAAAAGTGTTGCTAGAATCCTACTGTCCTTTAACAGAAATAATTATTCAATCCTTTTTGAAAACTTTCCAAAATTTTTATACTTTGTACATAAGATAAAAAAATACATCCATTTTAACATACGATTCTAGCAACACTTTTCAAAAACAATAGAATGAGAACTTCAGATAGAAATAAGAAATAAGTTTCAAAGTATATTGGTGTAGTGTTGAATTTTTGCGATCAGGATAGGCTGATCGACAAGTAAACACATTGTCTGCTTTTATTGTACGAAGAAATTGTAGAATTATGTAAGCATATCTTATTCATCAGCTTCATTCCCACATGAATCACAAAATATATTCATTCTAAATGCTTTTAAACTCCGATTTCTTGTGTTTGTTTACCTGGGTTCTCGTTACGTTTCACTTTCACTCTGCCAATACTGATAAACAGTTTTATTGTATACATGTACCTAATGTGTATCACCAAATTTTACTGTTGAATTTGCGCTATCACGTGACGTCGTGATCTGATTTTCCGGATCGCCAACATGTTGTTTTCTGAATCCATATCACCACTCTCTGAAACTGATGACGTACTACGCAGAAATATGACGTTATTTTTCTTGCGCGTTAAAAAGTTCCTTGTTTTTATGCTTTGTTTTATGGATAAATGTCATGCAATTTGATTTCTGAAGTTTCCTTTTGCTATATTTTGCTAGTTATGAGGGGATATATAATAAATTTATCATTATAACAGTAACTTGATCCGAAGAGCCGTATCACGTCTCGTTGACAGGCGCGGATCATCAGATCAAACTCGACGCTTCGCGTCTCGTTAGATCTGATGATCCGCGCCTGTCAACTCGACGTGATACGGCTCTTCGGATCAAGTTACTGTTATAATAATATATATTTGACGTCACGGGTTTGGTATTTAACCATTGTGATAAATACATAAACCGAGAAACGACAAGATTTAGTTGATATTATGACTCAGTATATTTAGTTTCATTTTTACGACCTCAAATCAATCGCAGATACCGATTTTAAGAAATTGTTAACTCTAAAGTTCACGTCATAAAGCTTACTATAACGTCATATCATATAGGCAACTAGAATTTTTGGTTGCAACCTTAACATACCTGCGAACACAGTCAAATTTAATTTGATACAATAACTAAGTGATATTGTCTTTTTGATTCTGTGAAAATCTAATATATTTTTAAGTACAAGAAATATACGAAGAATCCTAAATTAAATTTTTTCTTGAGAAAACCCAATCCCTGATTAAATTTTTTTTTCTATCTGGTTGATTTAGAGGCTTGTTTAAATCATAATCCTCCAGGTTAGGGTGTCGCCACAATGAGATATTAAAGTTTTGCATAGGAATATATAGAACAGATCTTTAGTTTGAAGGAAGGGGTTATTAGTAAGGGTTCAGAGTGGGATAATCTTGGAACATCTTCTCTTCAAGTATAACAAAGTTCTACATGTTTGCTTTATTGATCTAGTGACATTCTCAAGTAAAAGAAAATTCAAATCCCCTCTCCGATTTTTTCAACACTGAGCTGATTTGTGTTTTTAACTAGCCTATTTGCTGACGTGAGCAATGTGGCTTATAGGCCACTTGTTAAATTATTTTTTTTCATTTTAAAAGTGTCCTTCGTGTTTTATCTTTTTCATTTGTTTTTATGTTGATGTCAGTTGTACAGATGCCCTTGATATGCATGGTTCTAGACAAAAACATTTGATTATTTATTGGGTAAATAACAGTTGTTAAATGTAAACATTTCTTTATTAAACATTTTCACATGATATACTGATTTAATTGGGATGTTCTGTCCTAGGGTTTTTAGAATAGAAATTTGTGAAATTAATAAAAGAAAACCAGTAAATTTCACAGAAAAGAAAACATACTTAGCCGTAACATTAACAGCTTCATTTTGTTAATAGCAGGGACTTGTAGCATTACCTCCAATCTAGAATAAAAATTTCAAACTCTGTAATCTCTCACAAGGTGTAAAATACAGGTACATGTACATGTATTTCAAGTTGACCCCCTTATAAACATAAAACGGTTCGAAGACATATTCAAAATGCTCTAAACTGCTGTCTGCCATTAAAAAAGGTGGGGAAACAAAATAAGAAATACCCACAATCCAATCAGAGATTTGATCCACCCACAAGATTTATATTAATATTAAACAAGAAAATGTCACATAAATGAAATTATTTGCAACAATTACTATTTTAAGTTTGCACATTTCTTTCGATTCTTGATTTAAAACTTTTTTTAAAAACCAAAATAACATTTAAATCTTACTATTTTTTTGTTTTTATCTCTGTGCAATTATTTGTTGAAGGTACTGTTATTTGCAATGATGGAGGATTTCGTTGCCTTGAAAGTCAACAATGTATCAACGGGGCCATGTATTGTGATGGAAAATACGATTGCAGCGACAGAACTGATGAAGAAAATTGTAAGTTATATAAATAGTTTGATATTCAAAACAAAAACTGTATAACAAGGATGAAAACAGAATACGAAGATTTTTTTTCACAATTACTTGCATGTATGTAATAATTGACTCTCTCAAACAAGAGTTAGAAAATATTGCAAAAAATAATTTTTAAAAAAAGCAATTTTCTCTTTCAGGCATTTATAATACAAACAAACGTATAATAACCGGTATATCAGAGTATTCAATGAGTTCTCCCTGTGGCATCAATTTCAACAAAAACAATATTAGCAAAACGACTGATTCAAAAGAACCTTTTGGAGTGCCTAGAGAAGAATTGAATAAGAACAAAACGTTAAATATTACTAAAAATGTAGACAGGGATGATAAATGTGCGATATTTTCAAGTGTTTGCACGTGTTTTCTTAGCGGACCCACTCTCAAATCGTCGTCTTGGAAGAAATGTTTCAAAGATTACAAAGTAAACTACTATCACTTTTTAAGATTGCAGAATCTGACTTGTTTAAATGTTTCACTTACTGGGAACCATTCTCTTCCTTATATATACTCCTTAACCATAGAAAATTCAAACATAACAGATCTGCAGATTAGACGATATTTTCTCAAAAATTTACAACATATCATAATTCGTAATAGCATTATTCAAAGGCTGTACATTTGGCAGGACAATGATAGGACAGTTCAGATACAAATGCTGCAATTGATAAACTGCACGATAAAAGAAGTTACAATAAGGATGATGAGTATACTTGAAACCGATAAAATTACTCTCACTGCTTTTGATCCTATATCCATATTAAAAGGCGTTGTCGCTAATTTATCCTTTTATAACGCTAACGTTCAATTAAGTTTGCAAACAATGGATACATTTGATAATATGCGTAATCAAATTCCCTTTCGAATTGAATTTCAGTGTGAGGATACGGCATCAAGAAAGTATTCATATGTTTTTTTTGTAAATATACTTCAGACATCAGTAACTTTTCAATATGTTTGTAAAATAAATTTTTACTATTTTTTTACGAAAAGCTATATAAACTCTTTTCGAGATGCCAAATTCTCAAACGATTTATTTCGATGCAGTTACTTTACAAGGCAAAACAATGCAGTGAACAATATCAGTGAGACAACGTTACAGCTACGGGACATTCAAATGATTGATTTATCCTCCAACGAAATAACAATCATAGAAAAGGGAGATTTTAGGGAGTCTACTTCCTTGAAAATACTCAAATTACAGAATAATCTTATCCGAGACATTATGGACCATGCATTCAAGGACTTGATATCGCTATTTTTTCTTGATCTCTCAAATAACTCAATTACTTTTGTCAGCCTACACCATTTTATATCGTTAAAGAACCTTCGCTACTTGTTTTTAAACTATAATAGGATAAATGTTATTCATGCAAAAGCTTTTTCTAATCTAATTGCTCTACATACCCTAGATTTGTCGTTCAACAACATGAGGTATTTTGCCGAAGGTCAATTTTTCGGAATGGAAAGTTTGCAAAATCTGTATCTACAGAACAATAGAATTTTTTCTGTAAATGGAATGTTTTGGGGATTGTTTAATCTAAAGTTTCTTGAAGTTGATGAATTCTCTATTTGCTGTGCGAAGCCTCGTAGCCGTAATCATTTGCAATGTGTTTCTCCAGTAAATGAGATAGCTTCTTGTGAGAATTTAATCAGTGCTCCTGTCTTAAATGTTGCCATTTGGTACATAGCTTTTCTAGCTACCGTTGGAAACATTATTGCATTGATATGCAGTACTTCTACGTTTAAAAGATCTTCATTTGCATATTTCATTTTCTCAAGAAACTTGAGTGTTGCTGATTTCCTAATGGGTATATATTTATACATCATAGCCATTACGAATCTGGTTTATACAGGGAGATACGGGTTTGAGGATTATTCTTGGAGACATAGTTTTCTCTGTACGTTTGCTGGGATTTTAGCCACAGTATCAAGCGAAGCATCTGCACTTTTTGTTTTAATGATAACCATAGACAGAGTCGTAGCTATCAAAAATCCCTTTTCACGGCGTAATAAAGTATGGGTGATAGGATCATCTGCATTGGCATGGGTTATTGCTTTTTCTTTGGCTGTGTTTCCGGTATTACCGTTAAAGTTGTCAATGTTTGAAGACTTTTATGCCCAATCACCTGTTTGTATATCTCTTCCATTATCAGTTCATAGACAGCTTGGTTGGCAATATTCAATGGTCATTTTCATTGGCTTAAATTTCCTTATATTTCTTGGCATCATTTTTGGACAATTTCTTATCCTGTATGAAGTAATAAAATCTGGAAGCAATAGCCAGGCCTCAAACATACGTCGAAGGGAGATAACTCTAGCCAAGACTGTTGTTTCCGTGGTTGTCACTGATATTCTCTGTTGGATACCTATAGGAATAACTGGTGAGTTTTAGCGTTATGCTTAACATATGTTTGCAGATGCTGTCATACATTTTTTTCACTAATTTTATTATGTTTCTATATAAATTTCCTCTTCCTCTTTAATAAATAAAACTTTTACAATACCAATTAACTTAAGTGGATTTATTGGACATAAAGTACAATGTTTTATCAGACCTTATTTATCAAATGATTTTTTGGAATGGCTTTAACTACGCTTTTAATCAAATTTCTATTTCCATCATTTACAAAACATTTTTATTAATTTCTTTTCGCTTTTTGAACATATCAATGAATCAATAGATACGTTGAATAGAACTCAAAGTCTAAATTGCCTTACTTATTCCATTTACATATATAACTACGTCATAAATTCCATGTTTGATATGAATAACTATTTGTAGAATATGTCGCTAACAAACCTACGTTAACTTCGTTTGCTTCAGATAACCAATTGTACATGTTATATACAATTATATAGAATTAACCCATAAACCTTATTTTTTGCTGATGAAAGGAATGTTAACCTTTTACGGAATAGATGTCACAATGGAAATCTACGCTTGGATCATAGTGCTTGTTTTACCTGTAAATTCTGCAATTAATCCAATCCTTTACACATTGACTGCTATAATACGGGACAGAGGACGGAGGAAGGTAAGTTTCATGTACATGCATTTATCGAAAGTTTTTTTTTTATATTTAAAGCAAAACTTAGCCGTAAAGTGTATTTGAACAATGAAAAATGATTTCTTTTATTTGTCATTATATTATACTGTAAACGAGTTTTTTTTTTTAGCGTTTAGCAGATTTAACGACTTGTCATTAAAAATCAGAATTTAAATTAATCGAGAAATGATTTAAATTCTGTGGTGCCTTGAAAAATAATGGTGACAATGTCTTCATAAAATTTAACTTAAACTAGATCAAGAACCTCGCTAAAATTGAATCTGCGCTAATATTCCTGATTACATATATAGCTTATCTTATTACATGCATTGGTATAAATAAGATTGAATAAAAGGAAAATACAGACTTTCCACATATCATTTCGCTACTATTTTTATTCATACACATACGGCCAAAGGTTTTTAGTAATTTGATACGGTTGTTTTGATAAGAGATTTTCACTACAACGGTGTAAGAGCATTTGTATATAAAAAATAAATCCCTAACGTCATAATAGAGAAACAACGACATATTACGAACGAACGTAACCAAAAACAGGGATCAGTTATTGTATTGTATTCACGGTTGCATTATTGAATTCTTCAATTGTATTGGGATTTCGATAGATAATACCCAAACAAGATACCTCAAAGCCACGTCTTATCCTAGTCGCTAAACCCAAAAACTTTAAAGACATTCTTGTTCAAAATACTATATGCTGCGAAAAATAAAATTAATATGGCTTTAATACATAGGTATTGTAACCATATTTTAAATCCAAGGGGATGCCCGTTCGTAATTTGTCGGTTGATTAAGCTTCTTCTTACCAACATGTATCTTAAAAATCTTTATATAATTCTGAAGGGTGCTTGTGGAGAGGACCCCCCCCCCCTTAACATCCCAGACCCAAAGCTATTTTTGAATTTCATTGTAAAAGCTCAAAGGCTTCTCGAGATACAAGTATTGCTTGAGACAAAAATGTAACAGGTGTAACAGATCTAGACGGACAGAATTATAAGACGAACGGGCAGACCGAAATTAATATCCCCAACTTTTGGGGGAGGGTGGAGGGAGAGGGGTTGGTGCAAATATGGATGTTTAGTGAATTGTGTTTTTTACATAATTTTAGATATTTGAGAGCAAGTTCCATATTAGCATGCCATCATAGGACCTATGTCCCCATCCCTCTCAAACCTTGGAATATATATAAATCCGGGTCCAAGGAATTTTTTTGGCTTTCTTTCAATAATAACATTTACAATTTACAACATACAAAATGGATACCTGCAAATAAAAACGTTAGAGGTGGTTTGAGATACTACGGGATTTTTTTTTTATTAGAAGTTAATTCTATGTACTTTTTGGATTGTTCATATGAAATATGAAACAGTATCTTCTGAGATTATGTATTAAATTGCGATTTAACCTCAATTATCCTGGGCTGCTTTTATTTTATATATGTAACAGGCATGAAGCAAGCAATTTCAGTTGGGGGGAGGGGTGGCAAACAAACAATTTGAGTTAAGAGTCACTACTAAACAATTCCTTGGAAAGCCAAAATGAAAGATTTTTTTATTGAGGGGGCACAATTATACAGTAGCTAAGTTTTCTATAATATTTCATGGTTTATTTATCGACTTCATTAGGGGGCGGGGCTTATCCCCAACCCCTCAACCCCGTTCCTATATACGAAAGTGTGTACATGATGTATATCTCTCTATACATTTGGATTATAATAAAGGCTGAATACGCAGGGGTGATAAGGAAGCATACAAAATATTCTACCTTGACTAAATCAGTGCTACATTATGACGTCATAGTAAGCGAGATGACGTCAATTTTAAAACACAAGTTTTCGTGATATTGGTATTAGAGAAGTTATTTAACTCTAGAAAATAAAAAGAAGCGTGTAAACATTAACAAAAATAAAATATTTTTATTTTGTTATGCTGTATCTGTCTCTTAGTTAAAATATACAATCGATGATGTCATAAATGTACATCAAGTAACTTGGGAATTCATCATGTCGTGTAAAGAGAATTTGGCTATGACGGCTTGTACAAAGATACGTGAAATGGAGTTTAAAAGCAAATATCATTGATTTTATGTAGAATTTATATGGATTTCAGTTGATAAAACAGGTATGCTTATTTATTTTCATCAATGATATTCTCTTTCGAAGACAGTCGGCTATAAACGTATCCCGGTCGGACTTTCCTCTGTCATTTGTGACAAAAATAATGCAGCAGAACAACAATAAGCTGGGTATTTCAAGACATAAGATTTGTACAGATGGAAAATTTTGCCGTCTGACAAATTTGGAAAGTGCTGCTAGAATCCTGAGATAAGCATAAATTTACGAAAAATTTCGATTGATATGTATGAAATTCAAAACACAGGGTAAGATTTTGTGCGAATGTGTGGAATAATTATTTTACTGACAGGACAGTGGGATTCTAGCAGCACTTTTTAGGCAAAATAGATGTTTTTCAACTATATTATTTACTCAAAGAAATTAGTAAACTCCGGGGTATTGTTGTTCTGTTAGCTTTTTTATTAAGGAAAATTTCGCTATAAATAGAAGTCACGTGATCTTGTGGCAGTGGTGCACGTCTTTGTTCTAGACACTTTTTTTATCTGTATTCAGTTGTTAATAAAAGTTGACGTTTATCAGCGGTTTTGGTAATTTATCAAACTAAATTTTCTATCAAAAGTCTACATTGTCCGAGAAATGACTAATATGCTTCCTTAACATACCCGCGTATATGCATTTATGTATGGTGGTGCATTTTTTTTTAGTAAAGTTCTTTTCTTTACTGCTCCACTGTGTCATTGTTTGTTAACCATGCATTAATCGTCAAAATATAAAATTAGAAGATACATTTTATACTTTTGACCACACACAGAGTTATTTTGATCGAAGGTCCAATATACATATAAAACCATAACCAAAATTATAACTTGCTTCATTTGTAAGGAAAAATATATATTCACTATCCTGTTGTAAGAGAAAAAAATCTACCATGGGGGAAATCTACCATGAATGCTCGTTTATTTCTTTGAAGCGATATTCTATTAAATTTAAAAAAGAATCTCTCTCTCTATTTCTCTTTAGATCTTAATGTAAGACGTTCGCTTCATGATCGGGATGCCCGGGTTCGATTCTCGTTCCCGGCGCCGCGTCAAACCTTAGACGTAAAAATAGGTAGCGACTGTTCCTTCGCCAAGCGCTCGGCATCAGAAGTGAAAGTCACGGGTCTTTCGGATATGACCTTGAAAACGAAGGTCCCATGTCACGGTAGGCGCTGGTACGATAAAGAAATCTCACTGCTCAATGGCTCTGAGTGCCGAGTATAGGTCTAAATTTGAAGCCCTTCACCGGCATACGGTGACGTTTCCATATGAGTGAAAAATTCTCAAGAGGGACGTTAAACAATATACAATCAATCAATCAATCAATCAAGACACTTTATAATGCGCTCTACCAATTTACTTGACTGCACAGATTTATTTTTTTAAGCTGTAAGAAGTAACCTTTTCCCACAGGGTGATTTATACCTATTCTTAGGAGAAAAAATTCTAAGAATTTTCCACTTTTCTAAGCTTGTGACATGATATTAAGTCTCCTCCATAGACAAAATTTGTTTGTATCATCTCTCCTTATTCATTCATTAATGTTCTTATTCAGATTTTAAAACTATATGTTAAAGATCACTGGTCGACACAAATAAAATTAAAAGGAACATTAATATCACTGTACTCAAAGGTAAAATAAGTGTTTGGATTCAGCAAGATTAGTAAATCATATATATATATATATATATATATATATATATATATATATATATATATATATATCTTTAAATTTCTATAATATTTCAAAATTTATAATAGATCATAATTCATACATATTTTAGAATATCCCTGCTGTATTATTTTTCTTTGATTATTCTTTATCAAGTATAGTTACGCCATATTGAGAGAATGAAACAATGTACGATTTACTGATTGTCGTAATTAATTAGCATAATTAATTCGTTCAATTATGTAAATCGCACTTCACCCGAGCATACCCGATAGACCGGACGTATTTCTTAGCGGTCCGGATTTCTTTCTTTAACTATAGTGTTCTTAAAAATTTCCAATTCAACATGTAACTAAGTTTGTAGTAATAAATATATAGTGTTTAGTAGTTTAGTAGTAGTGCTAGTTGTTTTTGTTTTTCTTTTTCCTTTGTTCTTATGACCTAATAATTTTTTTCTTTGTCCTGAGGAAGGGACACAGCGTCCCGAAAATTTGACAATTTTTATTGTTCGTGTCGTTGGTCATTTTAGTGCTTTATATATATATATATATATATATATATATATATATATATATATATATATATATATATATATATATATATATATATATATATATATATATATATATATATATATATATATATATATATATATATATATATATATATGTCAAAGGTTAGTGAAAGCAACATCCAAAAAGAGAAAGAACTGTTAGCCCAGGAAAACTCTCGTCTTAAGCAAAAATTGAAAATCGTAAGTACTTCATTACTTATTTTCAATCTTGAAGCAGCGAGTTTAATTGTGGATTAATTATACCGGATGCATTTTATTTTATATTTTAAATCACTAAACATGATTTAGCAGACAAAAATGCCCCCAATTATCTATAACGTGTAATTGCAAAATGATATTGCTTAAAAATGATTTTGGTACACTCGCACTGATTTATTATATCATCACTTAATCCGTAACTAGTCTTAACTCAAAGTTATTGGCATATCATGTACAAAAAGTTTCTTCAGTCTTTAATTGATATATTTTTTCTTTTTATTTTCAGCAAAGAGACAGTACTAATAGCTACATGTGAGACAAGAAGTATTTATTGTGAATAATTGCTTATTTGCCTCTTATAATAGACACATTCTAATTTGTTTTTTCTTCAGTCGTTTTAAACTGCATATTGCTTTTTTAAGTTATAGCATTGAGGAAATAAAATTTGATTGTAATATTTCATCTGTCACAATTTTTCAAAAAAAAAAAAATACTTATTAGAACTTAGCGTAAAGAGGAACTCATTGTTTTCACTAGTTTTAACGTACTTTTTATCTTGCCAAATTATTAAAATTCCTCTAAAATACATGTATAATACATAGATCCTCATTTTCAGCTATAAGGTATGTGTACCTCTGCAAGGCTCAGTCAGAACGATACCTGTTAGATTAGCTAGTGAAATAATAGCATATATAGCTTACCTTACATGTTCATCTTATTTTCGTTAAGGTGGGGAATTGGGGTAGGGAAGTAAAGGTAGTCATAATGAAAATCATTCTAAGTATTTTCATCATTCAAATATGTATCAATGATCGACATATCATATCTTAATTAAAACCAAAATAACCACAACGCTGCAAGTTGTATTGACCATATTTTTATATCAAGATAGATTTGATAATCAATTTTCTATATTACGTAGAATTCAGAATGGCATTCATATATTGATATTTCCAATCATTTGCAGACTATTTACAATCACAACGATTATGAACATCGATCAAATCATTTATATAATCTATATCGGTAATTATTCTGTCTTATACTTGATTAAAATATAATAACAAAATTCTGTAAACATAAAATTCAATCATTCATCTTTTTAAAGCATGAATTCTTAAACAAACATTCAGTCGCCAAAATAAAATAAACTTTGAAATGTTGAATCAAATTTATAAAATGTCGAACAATATTGCACGAGAAGAATAAAGTAAACTGTATAATTCTTCTCATTTATTGCATATTATTTAGCCATAAGACATATTTCTCTAAAAAAAATTAATAGAAGATTTGAAATTTCTTATTGGATAAATTTAGAAACATAGTTGTAATGTGCAGCATATTTTCTATATTAATTTTTTTTCATATATTTATATACAATACCATACTTAGCAATCAAGCACTGAACATAACACTACCTGTTAAAGGTAATTAATAAAAGAATCTGATTTTTATACATGCATCAAAATATAAACATTTTTTTTATATCTAAAAATGAAAAAAATGAACCTAATTTGACTTCTCTTTTCCCAGAAAATGCTGTGATTATCATTTGCTTTACCAACTGTATTTCCTGAAGATAATCCCGTGATTTTTTTTAAAATTCTTTAATTTTTACATTTATCATGGATGCGATTTTTTAAATGCATGATCAACGTATGAAATGTATCCCCAGAATATGACACTTTATCTCCTGACGGTAATGTCTGTTGATTGATTTTCATTTGAACAATAAACGTAATTTTTTTTAATTAATTCAGCTGATAATTGATACATTTGTACATTGACTCTTCTCTTCTTTCCACCCATTTCTGATCTTGCAGATTTTGGTTCAATTAATTTCTTTTTAAATTTGTAAACCGATTGAAAGGATTTCATTTCAATTTCAAAGATTCTAATTTAATGGTCTTTAAATAATTTATAGATAAATACAAACACAAAAGCATGATTGAATGATACTTTAGCTGGAAAGAAGCCCTTTAAGTGAAGCTAATGATTAATGAAATAATCTGAGAAAATGATTAGATAAAACGAATACAAGGGATTTATTTAAAAAAGAAAAAAATACATTTAAAAACAAGATGTGTTTGTGAAATACTATGCGCCCGGCGGCAACAAAGTTCAAAAAATCTATTTTTAGCATATTGGTCACAGTCAAGGTCAGAAGGTCATTAACTTTAGTGTCGTTTGAAAAAACTTAATCGGTGGAGTACAGAATGTTGTTCTCCTCCATCCATGCTCTGGTGGACTTGTATGTATTTTTACTGTCGTTGTCCTGCATAAAAATGAAATATTTTTTTTAAGTTCCAGATTCCCTGATTAAGCCTTTTTCTTCATATCTATGTGTCTTAAATATCTTAAATGTCAAGCTACAAATATCAACAGACAATACTTATTGCTGTTCTTTTCTGTATAATAAAGTACATGATATTTAGGCTTTATTTCAAAAGACAGATGTAATCAACGTGTTGGTTACCTGATATAACCGATAGCCATCAGAAAACTTCTCCCTTGTAAAAGGCAGCAGATTATCCTGAAGAATCTGTTGGTAGATCACAGAGTCCATGATGCCATTGAAAATGCAAATGCTCGTTCTCCCTCTATAAGAAATCGCCGCCCAAACATTAATCTCTTAAGAAACAAAATGTGTTAATATTTTGGACATATATATACCTTTTTTGCTCACACAAACACCATTTTCAAAACACAAGTATCAACATGTTCAATGTTGTTGAAATTAAATTAAAATTTAAGTAAAATATTAGTTAATTAAAACTGAGTTTGGAAATATTGGCAGGAAGACTTCACTTCATTTTATTGAATATGATTTTATTTCTAAAATATTGTGTTACCTTATAGGCATGTTTCGGTTTGGGTACACGGTCACATTTCTTTTGAATATCTGAAGACTTCTGGTGGAAAATCAGCCTGCCACTTGAGCACATCTCTACACAGCTTTCATCAACAAAGATAACATTTCTGAAATCTTCCTTTCGCGATAAGGAATCCATACACCACTGAATCCGTACCTATAGAAATAAGTCAAATAAGCATGAAAAGCTTTTAAAATTGTAATATAACTAAGCCTTCCACAAATAACAGAAATAATTTACATAAGCTTTAGTAATATTACTATACTTTCTATAACACTTTAGCACTAAACTTTGGGGTGATAAAAACATTGTTTTTGTCTTTACTCTTCTGTAGACAGTAGAGCCATCAAAATTTAAACTATGAACTTAGTATTAAATGAAAAGACAAAAAAAAAATAATTAAATTTAGGAGACAGTGATTTGGTGAGATATTCATACGTACCTTCTTATTCTTTTTGCTGATCAGCTGACAGTTTTTGTTGCTTGACTGCGCCTCCCATCCAAGGTTTAACCGTCTCCTCTTGCAAATCAAACTATTAGACACGTTGACACCAAAAGTCTCAAACATACGTCTCTGTAGTTCTACAGCCTTAAGTTCTTGATTAGCATACATCCACGAATCCAAAAACTTGAGATGCAGTGTCTTTAACTTCACTGAATGCGGTTTAACATCTCGGCGTTTTCTCCGTAAGAGTCCAGTATAACTATATCGCCTCAGAAAATTATAAACAGCTGTCTGTGAAAATTTCACGCCATCCTCTTTCCATAGAATACGTATAACATTCTGCACTGAAGTTTGATTCGCACGAAGGTCTAAAATCTTCAATTTAAATCGCACCGAAAGTCTCCCTCCTTTACTCCTTCCGCCATCTTTAGAACTGAACATTCCGAAAAATTTTCACAAAACGAAAAAAATGAAACGAATACGCACGATTGAAAACACACACTAATGATTCTGATACACTCACGATCGCGCACGTTACACGGACGATCGCGCAACTTACACGAACGATTCTACACGATCGGTTTGTCAACAATAACGTTCCAGCCACTGTATGCATACCAAATATGAATTCCCTACCTCCTATGGTTCAAAAGTTATGGCAAAAAGTGTAAAAAGCTATTTTTAGCATATAAGTCACAGTCAAGGCCACTAGAACATTGATCTTGTAGTCATGTAAAAGGACTTTATTAGTGGAGTACGTATACCAAATATGAAGTCCCTATCTCCTATGGTTCAAAAGTTATGACAAACAGTGGAAAAAGCTTTTTTTAGCATATAGGTCACAGTCAAGGTCACAAGTTCGATGACCTTGATGTCATTTGAAAGGACTTTATTAGTGAAGTATGCATACCAAATATGAAGTCTCTATCTCTTATGGGTCAAAAGTTATGGCGAAGGTTAAAGTTGACGACAGACAAACAGACAAACAGATAAACAGACAAACAGACAGGACAAAAACAATATACGCCCGGGATCTATCGATCCGGGCGCATAAAAATAACACTTGTTAGATTGTGAACACTATAAATTTTGATCGATTACATGCATGAAATCATTGTTTATTTGTTTATTCAATTCTGAGAGATGTCATTCCAGAACATTCCATCTGTTCTGGGGTTTTCATTGCCAGCTTAGGCGGACCCTTCCGTAAGAACACTAAATTCGAGATCCTGGTCAGCATTTACGGCGTCAGAAGTTATAATCTCGGTATAATCATAAATGTTTTTCTCTTCCTGTTTTTTAACACTCTGTGTAGTATCATAATCACAGTCTCCACCCTCTACAAATCTCGCGTGATCATAGATGATCTCATTACCTACTCCCCTGGGATCTGATTCTCTTAGATGATCATAAACTCCTTCCTCTTTATGACAATATGAATTCTGTGACCTCAGCAGTTCAATATCAGCAGGATTGTTAGAGTTTGTCATCTGTGTTTCAAGCTGAAAATGATTCCTGGCTTTGTCCACTATTGAGTAGTGATTAGTATCATGTTTGTGAAATGCTCCCGTTTGGACATTTTTCTTTTTTCTGCTCTGTCTTTTTCGTCTTGAAATACACAATATTAATGAATATATATCCATTTACATAGATACGTATATGAAGCAAAAAGGTTCACTAAGGCTATCTAGATTATCTCTTGCTTTTGCAAAAGCATTAATACATTATTTGCTATATATAATACAGATATGATAAATATGAAATAATCTTCATTTGATTAAAGTAAATCTGTTAAGTAAAAGTGTGTTCGGCACATGTTGTATATCAGATTATGCTTAAATAATATTAAAAAAAATATTAATAATAATTGGCTAAATATCAGCGGTAAATAAAATTCAAATTGTACGTACAGTAACGTACACAAAGTGTTTTGGAATATTTTGGTTGTTTTCCACAACTGTCGATTCACGCAACTGAAAAGTATGCTTCATCGCCTTTCATCAATTGCAATCGAATTGGATAATGTGTAGTTTGCTCAAACACATTTTCATATTCTGATATCATTTACTTTATTTATATATAAACATGCAATTAAATATACATGTTTATAACATATGCCATACATGCATATCAAGATAATTGTATACTTATTATTTCCTCAATGAATGTTTACAATTTTCAAAATACGCACCGTGAAATTGGAAAAAAAAGTGACAAATATAAAATCTAATAACCCCTTTTCCCCTATAATGAATTTATCAAATAATAGAATATATTTATTAAAGGTATCTTATTCCTTAATTCTCTTAATTATAGAAATATTTTTTTACCTTATAAGGATCACACTAATCAGTACTGTGACAACCACAACAATTGGGATAACGACACTGAAGGGAATAGTAAGATTAAACGTTGTGTCTGTCTCTATAAATAAGGCAAAACAACTTTTATTTTGAATAAGCTTCACACAAATATTTTTATTTAATGATGTGAATGACTAATTAAGTACGGCTCCGTGTAAAAATCATGCAGAGGGTGATTCATGGGGGGTTTCAGAATTTCTTCAAACTTTGCATGTTGGTAGAGTATGCTAAGATACTCCAAAAAGAATTATAATTTTTTTTTAATTCTGCCATTGGTATCCATGGCAACCGATAAACTGTTTTGGGCAAAAAATGGCTGAAATTTCCTCTAAAACAGGCAAAAATACCAGTAATGAAGATTAAATGAAAAGAAAACTAAACAAAAAAACACATTTATGTTTATTTCTCATTAAAATACAACATAAGAAGTTACTGTCCCTATCTAGTCAAAATACTTTTATGACCAGTAATGTGTTCTAATTTTAAGCTAAAAAGGGGAGATAATCCATATTGGCAAAAAATGTAAAATATCCATTTTTTAGGATTTTTATTTATCAAAAATTTCTAAAAACCCCAAAGCCAAACTAAAAAGCCATGCTAGTTTCATAGAGACTGTAGTCTAAAGCTAATAGAATTATTAAAACATTTTTGTGCAAATGATTATTAATTTCCCAAAACAACTGATGAATTTTATACAAAAATGGTAAATTTCACTTTTTTGTCACAGTCCAATATATGCCTTTGTATGTTTGCATGTAAAAAATAAATAGCATTTCAAAACCATTTTTTTATATTTCCATTTTCAAATACAATTAAATTATTTACTTCTCATAATTTATCCAAATATTACCACGTCCAGGAATAATTTTTATTTTTAAGCTGAAAAGGGGAGATAATCCATGTCGAGAAAAACTGAAATTTTCAATTTCAAAAGGATTTACAAGCTAAATTCAGCTATATGATAAAAAATTTAAAGAACAAATACACTACAGCTAAACAGAAAGGCAGTGTTTATTTCATAGACACCATACCTTATGGCAAATAAAATATTAAAAACATTTTTGTGCAATTGATTATTAATTTCCAAAAGCCATTGAAGAGTTTTATACAAAAAATGGGAAATTTACTTTTTCGTCACGGTCGAATAAATGTCATGTATATATTTATGCATGTTAAATTATAAATAGCATTTCAAAACAATTTTTTATAGTTCCAAATCCAAATACAACACATTTATTTTCATTAATCAAATTATATCTATATCTACAGTATTATTTCTAATTTCAAACAGAAAGGGGAGATAATTCATGTTGACAAAAAACAACAAAATATCATTTTTTGAGGATTTCAGTTATCAAGAAAATAAAATATATCTATGATTTAAAAAATAGCCAAACAAAAAAGCTGAGTAGGTTTCATAGATACCATACCCTATGGAAAATTTAAAAAAATCATGTTCACGAAAATCATTGTGATTAATAATTTCACCAAAATTTTGTCAGAGTCCAATATATACACCATGTACACACGCTAGTACATGTTTACATGTAAGAATATCAGTTTACATTTTTAAATAAATTCTTTTACATTTCCAAATTCAAATACAACACTTATTTTTTTTTTTTCATTAATGAACAGTAAAATGTGTAAAAAAAAAAAAAACATTTGAAAATATTAATCATTTTAATATTGATTACTAGATACATTTATCATATAATCATTGTATATATATATACAATTTTAAGTTTAACATCTTTGTAAGGTGCAATCATGCCAAACAGAATATCACTAATCTCCACTGCTTCTCTTCTGCAGTAAGTGACTGTCCTTTGTTTATTAGCCTCTTCTAAAAGCACTTAAGATCCTTGCGAAGAGAATTGCTGCCTGATTGACATTATCTAAAGTACCCTCATGGAATCCACTGAACTCTAATCTTTGCTTTTTGACAGCTTTAAATATTTTATTTTCCATTATTCCTAAAATAATAATTACAATATACATGTACAGTAACATGTATTCATCATTCATCAATTTAGAACTCCTTAGTTTATGCTACATCATTATTGAGGTACTAAATGGTTATTTTGATTTTATAAATTACTTTACATGGAATATCAAGTTTATATAATGCAGTAATTTCATTAAAAATCTATAAATGGTTGCATGACATATTCTCCCACCTTTAGAGTCTTATTAGTTGGTGGTGTTCAATGATGTTTTCTTGCTGCCTGTAATAGATATTGTATCCTTTTCCTTCAAAACCATGATGCAGCCCATCGCGTACATTCTGTGAAAATAAAATGGGGTTTAATTCATCTAAAAAAAGTACTAATTTATGAAATACAGTAAAAAAAAGTTATAACAAAGTCACCGGGACCTATGAAATTACTTCGCTATATCAATTACTCGTTATATCCATATAAGGAATTTGTTAAATCTATATAGCTGGGGATCTAAAATAACTTCGCTATTTCCGTAAATTCGCTAGATCCATGTTCGTAGTAAACGAGTTTTGCTGTATGTTAAATATCTTTTCTAATAGTGTATTTTTCATCATTTGCAATATGTCTCCAGTTTTAACTTTAGTACAATTTAAACAGAATCTACACTACTTGAAGCTTCTTCCAATGACTTCAACAGCAGTACAATATTAATCATGGCTTTGCTGTTCTAGGGAAGATTCTCCCCTATATATTGCAATGTGAAACTTTGATCCCCATTGTGGCCCCATCCTACCCAAAGGAGGGTTTAACTTAAGCACTGTTGCTAAGAAAAAGTAGAAATTGGTTTATTATTGAAAAGTTTAAATCCAAAAGTAGTCCCATGACTGATCATGGCTTTGCTATTCTTGAGAAGAAGATTTTTAAAGAATTATCCTATAGGGTAGGGTGGTGTAATTTCGACCACCTGGTTAATTTCGACCGTTCATAAATACCTTTATATATTTTGTTTATGGCGTATAATTGTGTATGTACGTTTATATTATGCAGCAAGAAAACCTATTTTTAATATATTGTGTCCAAATTAATTTTATTTCCATGAGCTTTATTAAGATCGTTATTGAAAAATTACATTAAAGAATAGGCTTTATCACAGGAAAAAATTACAGACGAATATACACGGTATCTTTTGCCACTACGGAGAACTATCGACTCAGCAAAATCTTGTATGGAAAGACAATCAATGGATATCCCTCGCGTGACATTTATGAAATATTATTTTATTAATGAAATTTATACCTTTTTAATTTATAGTAATTAGTTTTTTACAAATTAAATTGCAAATCAGCTGAACAGAAATCGGTCGAAGTTATCCCTACATGAATACGGCGTCAGTGGGTAACTTCGACCAATGTAAAATGACGCAAATTACTATCTGTCACCAGAGAGAATTCATGACCGTCCGAAAAAAATATTAGGATAAGAATTATGTACATTAATACCTGGTAGCAACTAGTATTACAATACTGAAAAATCATTTGTTTTATTTAAATGCGGTTTAGATGCCTGCACATGTACATTTGTACATGTGTAGCATGCCTTAACCAATGGTGGCAAATCGGTGTCATAGACATATCTGGTGCACTCGATGTCTTCGAATTAAGTACATTTTGAAAATTGTCATTTTGTGGGGTCAATATTTTTACTCGATCTTTTATGCTGTACAACAGAGAAGTTTAAATTCATTTTTTTAAATATATTAGAGCTGATGTCAATTATTTCCTTTGTATTGGCTCATCGGTCGAAAATACCCCGCGTGCGGTCGAAATTACCCAACACACTTATCTTGTAAATCGAACGCATTTATTTCATATTATGACCAAAAATATATACAAAATCGGTGTAATCTAAAAGATAAAAGGTATTCTGAAGGTAAAGGGATCTAGTTAAAGTTGTAGCGTAACGTAACAGTGACATAATTACCAACTCTTAAGTACAAAAAAATAATCGGTCGAAATTACACCACCCTACCCTATATTTCTATGTAAAACATTTGTCGGCCATTGTGGCCCAGCCCTACCCCGGGAAACTTGAATCTATACTACCTGAGGATGCTTTCATATAAATATGATCAATTCTGGCTTGGCTATTCTTGAGAAGAATATTTTTAAAGAATTTTCCTAAATATTTATATGTAAAACTTTGGTCGGCCATTGTTGCCCCGCCCTTCCCTCGGGGGTCAAGATTTGAACAAACTTGAATTTACACTACCTGAGGATGTTTCCCCATAAGTTTCATCTTTTCTGCAACAGTGGTTCTTGAGAAGAAGATTTTTAAAACATACTACCAAATTTTCATTAATTCCCAATAATCTCCCCTTGAATGAGGGCGTGGTCCTTCATTTGAATAAACTTGAATCCCCTTCACCCAAGGATGCTTTGTGGCACGTTTGGTTGAAATTGGCCCAGCGGTTCTTGAGAAGTCAAAAATGTGAAAAGTTTACAGACAGACAGACTGATGGACACCAGACAAAATGTTATCAGAAAAGCTCACTTGAGCCTTCTGCTCAGATGAGCTAAAAAGAAACTCTATTGATTTTGGTGATGAAGTAAATAAAGTATGCAGTAAATCGACCAAAACCGTGTGTCACTTCTGATTTGTATTAACAAATAGTAGACTGTCATGCTTGGGGACTCATTCAATTAATTGTAGAATGCTAGAGTAGAGACAAAAACATTGTGCTGAAAATTACCTTCCATTAACGGTAGTGTACCCGAGCTCTTAACAAACTGGAAATTTGTCTTTTGCTTAATTAAAAGTATTCAACAGCTGCAATACTACATGTATCTATGATTTTTTTTTAAGACTCAAAATACATTGTCATACAATGACTTGTAAAATACTTTTGACTGCATATAAAAAGCTTTACCAAGCTATTTTGAATAGATTAATAGCGAGTGCAGCGAGGGTCGCAAAGCGATGCACGTAACTGCGAGCTCTGATGACAACGCCTGGGCAAAGAGAAAATTTGGACTACTGCACATTCATTCCAAAGAATTTTTTACCGCAGTAATTTAGACCCACAATGCATTGCTTCCTACACAAACTCTAAGGCAACGTT